CCTTCCTATAAGGTGTTTCAATGGCCCCCCTCCAACTTCTGAACTCCTTCAGCTTCTTTTTTTTTTTTTTTTAAGGCGAGGCAACCCTTGGTTAACCACAGATTGTAAGGAACTTGTCAGTTTACAATCCCTTATTTTTTACACTCACAGCACCTGGTCTTCCTAGGTGGTCTCCCATCCAAGTGCTAACCAGGCCCGACCCTGCTTAGCTTCCGAGATCAGACAGGATCGGGCTTGTTCAGGGTGGCATGGCTGTAGACCCCTACAGCTTTCTGTATTCACTTTCTGTACATAGCGGCACTGTCACACCACATTACGCAATTATGTGCTTGCTGACTGGCTTCCCTCAAGACTGTAAGGTCTAGGCATTGTGTCCTTTATCTTTGTGTTCCAGAGGTTAACACAGCAGTGTCTGATGTATGGTAGGGGTTCACTAAAAGTTTGAACGGACAATTCCATATGCCCAGCCCCAATCATGGCCAAACAAATCCCAGTGATGCCGAGTGTGGAGGCAGAATTTCTAATATGTCACTGTTTCTGTGTTTCCTTTTCATCCTCCCACCTATCTTAAGGGCAAACAGACCGTAAGCCACTGGGAAGCCAACTATCTACAGGCTTAGGTAGTCTGACAGGTACAATCTCTGTAAGTCACTTTAACACAATTCAGCACATATCGTGTGATATGTGACTGGATGCTAAGGTAGTGCTGGAATTCTCACGAAGAATGCATGTCCAAGCTTGGCCTGCACAGTTCCTGTGAGAGTGGCAGGGCCCAGGGCCAGCAGGAACACACCTGATGTGGGCTATCTGGGTGGAGAGATGCTCTCCGTGGTTGGGAGATTAGTTAATGCAGGGGGATTAAGCAAATAAGTGATTATGTTGAGGATACTAGGAGCTAGGTTTCTTACCAGTGGAGAAAGTACAAATACGGAAAATGGGAAAGCTAGCAACAACCTTGCGGAGTTGAATCAGAGTTGGAGGTATCAGTGTGAACTGATTTTTAATATACATAAGAGCTGTGGGTGGATGTAGAAGCATATATAAGTGCATGTACATATGTATGTGTGTGTACACACATGTACTTCCTACGTTGGTCCACTTAGAGGGCCTAGAAGTAATGACACCCCAGTAGCAGTGAGCATACCTTGCACCCAGATCTTGATTTCTCAATGCCCTTATCCAAAAAAAGGAACAAGGGCTTATTAGAGAAATGGCTGATTATAGGGCTGGAGCAGAAAAGGTACAAGATGAGCCAGGAACACCTTGTTGTATAAGAAAGAATTAGGGGAGTGCTCGAAGAATAACGGGCTGTGTCAAAGGGACAGGATCCAGCTAAAAGGAGCTCCACCTGGCAAAATGTGGGACAATTTGAGCATCTAAATATATAAAGATAGCAAAAGTATAACACACTGAATAAAAGAGGATTCCATAAGACCATACTGATGATATATATCAATGTGTATTTATATTTAAATAAAAAATAAATAAATAAGTAGGAGAAAAGACAAAGCTCAATCTTTCTGTTGAATGTCACACAATAAATGTAAAGGAATGATGAAATTAGAAAATCACCATTTGTCAACTATCATAGTAACAACTAATTTAGGCAAAAATTATCAACAGTTGCTAAAACTAGTGGGTGAAATTTGATGAGGAACAAGATATTTATATAATCTCCAAGTAACCCCCCACAAAATATTTAATTACTTATAAATATAAAATACTTATTAATTTCATGGTAGAGAAAAGT